ACGGGCATCCTGGGACTGAATACAGGTGAAATTCTGGAACAGACTCGAGCTGTCAAAATATACAGAAAGATCCGTTACATTGTGTTTCGAAACTGGTGGAGGTTGGAGAAGAGATGAAATAAAACTTTCCTTGCATTTGCCTTTCACGTCAGGATGGCGTCCCAAGGAGCTTCACTACATGTACTCTAAACAACAACAACAAATTACATTTGTATAGCCCCTTTCACATCAGGAGGACATCCCAAGGAATTTGAACCTGAGCTGGGGGATGGGATCTGGAGGGCTGGAGAACAAGGAGGGTTTACCAAAGGTGAGGTCAAACAGGAGGGTCTTGAAATGGACCGTGAAGGTGTAAAGTGTAGTGACTGTGTTTGTTGGCGAATGTTTTGACTTGTGTGTGATTTCAGTTGACTTATTTGTTAAAGAGTTAACGTTTCATTTGTTAGTGGACAAATTTGCGGAGGCTTATAACACTTCACCATCAGGGCTGGCCCACTGGTGTTAGCTTGGATGTGAAAAGGGGTCCTGTAGCTCTGTGGTTAGAGCACTTGCCTGGCGAGCACGAGAGCTGGGTTCGATTCCCGGCAGGGCGAAACCTTGGGCAAGTTTCCTTACTCCACACAACTGATAATAATCCCTCAAGAAAAGAAACAATAAAATTGGTCACTTCGATCCACGACTGTTTGTGGGACACTGCTGTGTGCAATTGGCTGCTGCATTTCACCCACAAATATACAGTCAGTTCACTTTACAGGATATTCTGTGAAGCGCTTTGAGATGTCTAGAAAACGTGAAAACCGCTATATGAAATGCAAGGATTATTATAAAAGCATTTGATAATGTGGATTGCTCTTTGGACACCATTCTTCAAGGTATACGCATTTTATAATAACATAATATAGACATTTCGTAATATAATAATAACTTTTGTAACAGTATTCGTGTTCTATGTCCTAAACCATAATAACAATAATCCTTGCATTTGATATAGCACCTTAATCATGTTTTGAGACTTCTCAAAGAGCTTCACGGTATATACTGTAAAGTGAATTCAGTCAGGACCTGGGTCAACAGAAAAGTGAGGAAATATTTTCCAAATATTGCAGGGAGATTTGGACATATTGCGGAGAAAGTTTTGCAGAAAGTGGCAGGGAGTTGATTCGTGCTATTGAGGTACATTTTACTGCCAACCTACTTTTTTTTCACTTTATTGATTAAACATGAGGAAATAATACATTAGATGTACACATTAAACTGGTTTTTTTTTTTGGTGGGGGGAAATCAGCGAGGTTCAGGAGCTCTCAGGGCCCAGCACCACACACAGACCCAGAGAGAGAGAGAGAGACACATGCGCGCGCGCGCCCGTACACACATGCACTCACAGACACAGAGAGAGACTCACAGACACAAAGACACATTCTCAGAAAGAGACGCACACTCACATAGTGACTCACAAACACAAAGAGGGACACAAACAGAGAGGAGAGGGAGACACAGACATACTCACAAGCAGAGAGAGAGACACACACACAAACATACACAGATGGTCATAAATGCATATAGAGAGACATACACACAGATAACCATACACACTCACAGATAAGCACAGAGACTCACAGATAATTACAACAGCGGGGCGTCCGAGTGAAACCCATTTGTCACTTGCGCCGCACTGGGCATTGGTGTCCGGAGCCGCCCCGCTCACAGTGACGCAAGGTAAACAGTATGGCTGCACTTTTCTATTGCCTCAGGTCATGATCCACCACATGTAACTCAGGAGCTTAGTGCCCCCATTTACTGTTTTGTGATGCTCTGCCCATAAGATTTACTTAGATAAGAATGAAGTCTGGGCAGGAACGCTTCTATGAGTATTTGTTCAAACGGATTTAGATGAGCATGTATCTGAGAATTAAAAGGATGCTGTTTCATAGAAGCCTCCACACCAATTACCTTCAATAGTCTGTACCAATTCCTGGGACTTCAGCAGTTGCGTGTTCCTTTGAATATGGTTCTTTAACGTATTTTGTTGATCAGAACCTTTTGCAGTTACACTAAGAGTCGCCACACTAGAGCTTGCAGAGATGCAAATGACTGTCGTGTTTAAATAACTACCACTATACTTGACATAAATACCTATGAGTTATTTAAGAGCATGTTGACATTCGTGTCCTTCAAACCAGTTTGCCAAGCTGTTTTGGTGACATTGTCCTGATTTTCATTGGGTGTGGTGAAGTTATGTCTGTCTTGGGTGTGCCAGTACCTCAAGCTGCTATTGGTGTTTGAATGAATTGTACAGCTACTTTATTAGTCACTGCACAATTTTAGGATTGAGAATACTGGACGAGGGCAGGAGAGATTGAGTTCCTCCACAACCCTGCCCATATCCCTTGCCCCCACATGATAATTGCCTTTAACTTCAAGCGGTTAGCAAATCATAAAAAAGAATCTACAGGTTCACTGAAGGATATGGATTAGCATTTCGGATGTGACCCTGCATGAGAGCCATTTTGGAACCACTCTAAAGAACTAGCCTCTTTAATAGAACATATCCTGGAGAATAGAAGCATGGCATTGCCCCTAATGCACTGCTGCATCACTTTAAATCTGCAGCAGTCGGATTGGTTTTCTGTTTCATTACAGCAGCAGCAACTGCCTACATTTATATAGTGCCCTTCACCTAGGATAATGTCTTGGGAGTGCTTCTTTACAAAGAAGTGGCTGTGCGCTGAGCACGAGAGAAACGGGGGCAAAGGAGATGACAAGGTCGATTTTTAGGCAGCATTTAAAGACCAAGAGGAGGGCGAGACAGAGAGGTAAAGCAAGTTAGAGGTCAGGGGCATTGTAGCTGAAGGCTTGGCCACCGATGATGGCATGGAGGGGGCAAGGGCTGGCAGGCTTGAGTTAGCTGTGCGAAGATTACAAGCAGAAGAGTGGGGTAGGAGAAGATCACAGAAATTAGGAGATGCTGGGGCGTGGAGGGACGAGCACTCTGCAGGTTTGTATTGAGAACAGTTGTTCCCATAATGTTTCTGTTCAGTCTATTAATAATTGAGATCTTAGCTTCAGAACCCGCTTTGAGCATGCATCATTTGTTTTTGGTTCCACATCTGCTGTGTATTGTGAGAGGCTTTGATGTGGAAGATCCTGAGCATAAAAATGCAAATTCCTAGTCTCTCCCCCCCCCCCCCCCCTGTTTGCTTGCTGTTTCGGGACATTTTTGCAGCATGGATAGGAGCTTGGTTCAGCTGCAGTGAACTCTTAAGACGTGAAGGAATAAAACTAAGAGGATGGCAGACTCTACAGATGATATGTAGTGAGATAGTGTTGGAGAGAAATAGGAACATTTTTGATGGCTGGGGGAGGGTACTTTTCCCTGGTATCATGCATTTTTGATACATTAGTCAGAATGTTCCAGTCAGTCTTCTCCATCCAAACTGTGTGGGGGGGCGGTGCGGGGGCTGAACACTGACCTGCGTTGGCACTCTGGGATACTATTCTGCGTAAGGGGCCCTATATAAATGCAAGTTGTTGTGTTTGAGCATTTTGTGTAAACATATTTGATTTAGGAAGGCGGAGGGAAATATGATCGATGCTTTTCGCAGTCTAACCTTGGTTTTAAAAAGAGCTGAGTTTTTTTGTGTGTGACCTGCAAGGAGCTAATTTTGAAGCAAGATTCCTGTGGGCATGTTCAGCAATGTTTTGGCACAATGAGTGCAGTCTTTTAAAAATGAATGTTCCATTCAGCGCTCTGCCTGAAATAAGAGCACAGAGCACTTCCCATTGCACATGTTCAAGAATGTTTCAGCAAAGTTACTCCATTCCTCCCTTTTTTATGGTCTGCATTGAATGGGTAAAGTGAGCAATAGAACCAGGAAAATCCAAAACACATGTCTCCTGGATTATTTTCCTCTAGACCCACTGGACCTTCCTTTACTGTATCCAAAATGATCCCCATCCCCCCAACTTTTTTCACTCTATTTCTGACCATTTCTGACAGAAGGTCATCAGCCTGAAATATTAACTCACTTTCCACTCTCCATACATACTGCCTGACCTGCTGAGTGATCCCAGCGACTTCTGTTTTTATTTCAGATTTCCAGCATCTGCAGTATTTTGCCTTTCGAGTTATAGGAGTTTTAAACTCTAAGTTAAGTCGTAAAAGTTGCTATTGCTTAAGTTGCAAGTGATTGCCCTCAATGTCTGAAAAAAGTTGATCTTCAGGAAATCTGATCAACTTTGGTCTTTTACTTTTCCTTCTCAAAGTGCTGTTGATTATTGTTTTTGAAACTTTGGTTAAATTATTTTGAAGGCTGAGGGAACGCTTTTCCTGCTGCTAGTTTCCACCATGTGGCTCCTGCAAAACAATTTTCTTGCTGCAAATTCTCCTGAAGTTTCTTGGAAAGATCAGAGGAGTAAACTTCTTTCCCCAATTCATAGACTGCATTCTTCTAGCACTAAAGCAGGAAGGGAATTCCAAGAAAGGAATTGTGCCAGGAATATCATCTATGTTTCTGCCTTCAAATTCTGGTTTGGGATGCTCACAGTGAACTTGCTGAATTAAGTTTGCCCCCTGGTGGGGACATTTTTACCACAACAATCTGCCGAGGAAGCAAAGGCTGTTGTCAGAGTGACTATAATTTAGTTCCTGAACTGTGTAAATGTAGTGTACATGTGACCTGAACATGTGCACCTGATTGATACTATCCTGGTGGTTGCCTTGATTTCCTACAGGTGGTAATGAGAACATAGACCTCTGAAGCAACAGTTGGTTTGGCACATCCTGCTCCTGGTCAGGAGAGCCCCAGTCCTTTGCTTCTGGGTGCTTTTCTGGCCGTGTTTGTCCAAACCTGTGCACAGCTTTAGTCAGAGCAACCATGTTCACTCAGAGTTGGTACCTGTCCTCTGTGGCACATTACTGTACCTGAGCAAGGCAGAAATGGAGGCTTATCAGAACTGATGATAACCGACTGACTAAATTCATACATCTTTAATTTGAACAGGAATCCAAACCGCCTGGCAATGACTCGGGGGACAGAAAGGATGGAGAATACATCAAACTCAAAGTGATAGGACAGGTGAGACCTGATGAATTTATACAATGATTTTTTTTCCATATCCTGCAGTGGATAACCTAGTTTTGTGCTTCTCTTCCCGCAGGATAACAGTGAAATCCACTTTAAAGTCAAGATGACTACACAATTGAAAAAGTTAAAGGAATCATATTGCCAGAGACAGGTAGGTTTGTGCAGAGTGAGTTACACCTGGGTGTCACTGTCATCTCTAACTAAAGGTATCACAATATTACAAACCAACCGCTCCGTGGGGGAGGGGGCAGAGAGGAAACTTTTTTCACAGTAACCTGAGCAAAATCTTATAGAATTGGCTTCAAAGAAGCCAATATTCTCTTTCTGTCATAATCTTCACCTCCCAAATGGTGGAATTCGTAATGATAAGAGTTGTTTCTTTCTTCCTCCCTCAACTCCGAGATGTGCAATTTTTTATTTTCTCCCAACCTCCTCAGGCAATGTTTAAGACAAAATACATGGAGTTGGGTGTTCCAATTGAGGAACCTGGTCTTGGCTGACACTCTGGTGCAGTGCTGGGAGAGCGTGGAATTGTCAGAGGTGCTGTCCTCTGGGTGGTATTAAACCAAGGTGAAAGTGTCCACTTGACTTTAACCCAGCAAGATTTTGTATGAGAGAGAATTTAAAGGTACAGTGTGACTTGTGAGAGGACAATTTCCAGTCTGTGATAAATCTACAGACTTGTATGAAAATAGATGATGTGGTAGTGACTGCCATACATACTTGTCACACACACCTGGTGTTTTCTTCAGGTTCTTTATGTATCAAATACTTCTCTCTTTTTGTTTTTGGTACATTTTATTTTTTACCTCTCAACATGTTCCTTTTCCACCCAGTCTCTCTATCTATATATCTCTGTAAGGCATTGATTCGTACTGGGATGTGCTCCACACATTCCCTCCATTACCTCACCCAAGAGACTATTTCTGTGTGAAATTAGAGAGAGGCAGGCTCTTTGGCTAGTGAAGTGGGGTCTAGTGTTAGAACCAAGCCTTATCCTGCAGCAGAGTAATTGAACAACAATTGGGAGTGGTGAAAATGGCGCTACAGGATGCTGAGGCCAGTTATCATGGCCTAGTACTGTTTCAGTTGAGATTATCAGAACAATGATAAAATTTGGGCCTTCCTGCATGTCTGTTTCACATCAGCAAGCAACTTTACCAGAATAGCTTTTTTGTCTTGTTACAAATAAAGCGTTGCCTGACCAGGCTCGAACTTTTTGTCTCTGCTTGTGTAGGGGGTTCCTATGAATTCTCTCAGGTTTCTGTTTGAGGGCCAGAGGATTGGAGACCACCAAACGCCAAAAGAGGTACAGTGAAAATTACAGCCCCATATTATCCCTATAAAGTACTTTGAAATATTATGCAATGTGAAAGGTGATTTACAGAACAATATAACTTACATTTATATCTATCACGCCTTTCACATCAGGGCTTTATAAGTACAAGCTGTTGTATCTTGTGCCTGTTGGGATAGTTTACAATTATATCGCCTTTTGCTGTTGAGCAGGCTGATTGCATTAGATGTTCTGTATTCTCACACAAGTCTTGTGGTTAATCGCTTGCAATGTTGCAACTGGATAGATGGGGGGGGAGGAGGAGAAAGAGAGAAGAAAGTATGTTCCATTTCAACAAAGAAAAAACCTACAAAAACAGTAACTAGAATTACTGCAAATCTCAGTGAAACATTTTGAGACATTCAAAGTTAGAGGGCTACATCAAATGCAAAGAATATTGTACTACCTCTAATGGAAAGCAATGGACAGTTCACAGCTTGGCTGAGCTGGTACACTACAAACTGTTACAAATTGAGTTGAAGCAAACCAGCTCAGCCAGGCCGTTAACTCTCCATTACAGTTTGTATTTATATAAGCCTTTCATGTCAGAAGGACGTCTCAAAGGGGCACTGGGAGGGGGAAAGTGCCCAAATTCAGAGATTCGTTTGCAACTTCTCTTGAACGAGGGGAGGGAGCAAGTCAGAGGGACACCTGCTTGGAGTTCCACAGAGCACGGGCTTTAGAGCTGAAAATTCATCTGGGAGCTCAGGAAACCCAAAAGTTAGATGGGAGGAAAGCATAAAAGTAGTAACTGAATATCATTTGTTGGAAAATAAATTTGTTTTTTGATGACTCTTATTCGTGATCCTTTTGATTCATGTTTTGTCTCTTTCGACAGCTGGGAATGGAAGATGAAGACGTCATTGAGGTTTATCAGGAACAGACGGGGGGCAAGACCTCGGTTTAGACGCCAATTTGTTTTCTTCTCTTCCCCCTTCCCTGCCCTCTTGTAAAGATGCAGCCATTTAGAAACCTAAACATGAACTGCTGTTTCTAGACACTGTATTGAAAGCGCCTTTCTGACACTGTGAATTTGATTCTGATTCAGAAGCAAAGCCCAGGCTCCTTTTACCCAAGCATTTCTCACAATTATTTTCGTTCTCCTCAGTGAAAAGAGATGGCGACCCATTTTCCATACCTGCAAGGGCCGGATTTTTTTTAAAAAAATTCGGAAAGAGTGGTGCTATGGATCCTGATTTTTATTTTTGACTGTGTTAATTATTTTACAAGGTGTCACGATCGCAATATTTTGTAACAATCTTGTTTGGTTTTGTGGTATCTCTGCGTAGAAATGGTTTCTTGTGCTCGTCTGGTTCAATGTTGCTGTTAAGGTTGACTTGATGCAGGGGGGAGCAGGATGCCATTGACGCAGAGTTTATGCATCATGATCTCTCGAAATATCATTGTTCTGGTACCACCAAGCCTGGTGGAGAAGAGATAGGGGCCTTGGCCCACAGGAGACACACAGGCTTGCAGAGTAAATTTTCCTTGCAAAAAATTCTCTCTTCAAAGAGAGATGTTTCACGACTGCACAGACACCTCCTCAGAGGGCCTGCTGAGAACATACGAAGTAGATCACAAGTGTGGCTGGTAAAGTGACCGGAGGTACAGGGTTTAGGTTCCAGTTATATGCTTGAGTGACCACAATCTTACCTAGCGTGTTCAGTCTATCTACCACACTTTGAGACAGTTTTATAGGTTCTCACTCAGTGCCCTTCAGTGGGAGCTCCTTGTTCTGTTAGCATGCTTTTTTAGTGGGTATGGGTGGGGGGGGGGGGTTAGAGAGTGGGGCGAGGAGGGGAAAAGGAAACTGATAATTAATGCAAAAGTACTTCCTGTTGGTCAGTTGTTGTGGAGTGATATTGGTAGTGCATCCAGACAGGCCTGTCATGTAGCACCCCCTGCACTCCCAGCTGAAGGAAGCTGGTATGATGGTGTATAGCACCTATCTGGAGCAGAGGCTTAGTTAGGACAGAATAAGCAAAGGACTAGAGTGAAAATGGCTTCCAGTGGTTGCAGGTTTATGATTCCAAGGCCTGACAATTGCTTGAACTCACCTACCCTCATTAAACAAATTGTCTTTCATCTTGGATGTCCAGCACTGAAATGAGACATTTCCTGGTGGGTAGCAGAGGGTGTTCAGGACATTACCTCATCTTGCTCTTAGGTTGCAGCATGGTGATGTTTGCCCACTGACACATGGGGAGGAAACTAAACAAATGGGGAGAAAGAAGTTGAGGGGGGGCAGAAACTGAAAGCAGGGAAACTAGGTAAAAATTGTGGACTGGAATCCTCCGAGCTCAAACATGCACGGCATACTACTCTTTTCCCTTCAGTTTCATATTAAGGTATCATTGTATTGGAAATATTTTATATCAAATGAGTTGGCCGATTTTCTTTTGAGGGTTTAAAAATTATTTAGCATTTAAAATAAATTTTTAATAAAACCATGCCAGGCTTTTAATGAAGTGTGGACTCTTTCGAGTGGCATTGCAATTGATCTGCTCACTATTCTCCTGAGTGTTTTTGACACACAAGGTAAACATTTGGATTTTACAGGGACAAGCTAACTTGCTGAACCAGCTCATCCAGGTAACCGACAATGTTCATGTTCCAACCAATGCAATCTATCATTCACAATCCAGGCGAATTCTAGATTCACACAGACTCCAATCATGGAATTCTATACAGTATTTGCATCCTTGCTATACAGAATTGGACATAAGAGTATTAAGATGCAATGTTAAACCTTATTGGAATGGGAAGATGGGCTGCTTTACCGTGAGCTAAAGATTTAAACATCCAATGGCACTATTCAAAAAGAGAAGGAAGTTTCTTCCATTGTCCTAACCAACAATCCCTCAAATAAAATTGGGGGATTCACTTTATGGCCATATGTGGGACATTGCTGTGTGCAAATTGGATGCTGCACTTGGTGCAACCAGGAACTCACCGTTGAGTGAAGGATTGACCATTCTTTTCACTGTACACGGAATGATTTGAGTTGCTATAGTTCTGCACCAGCCTGTGGTTAAAATTTCAATTTAGCATTAAAACTGCAGTATCTATCTCAAAATCAGAGCTGAAGACAGAAAACATGTCTTCCCACAAAGGCTTATGAAAATTTGGCGTGTACTTATGCAGAATCGATTGGGATGCTTAGGAACAGGACTAGGCCATTCAGCCCTTCAAGCCTGTTCCACCATTTAATTAGATCATGGCTGATCCGTACCTCAACCAATCCTTTCAATTCCGATTTCCCGCTTTCTCCCCATATCCCTTGATACCCTGACCTACCAAAAATCAATCAACCTCACTCTTGAAGGTGTGGATGGACCCAGCATCCACGGCCTTTTGGGGGAGAGAATTCCAGATTTCTACCACCCTTTGAGTGAAAAAATGCTTTCTGATTTCACTCTTAAATGGCCTGGTTCTAATTTTAAGACTATGCCCCTTGTTTTGGACTCCCCCACCAGAGGAAATAGCTTCTCTGTATCTACTCTATCGAATCCCTTTATCATCTTAAATACCTGAATCAAATCACCCATCAACCTTCTAAACTCAAGGGAATACAATCCTAAGTTTACGCAGCCTTTCCTCATAACTTAACCCTTTTAGGCCTGGTAACATTCTGGTGAACCTGCGCTGCACCTCCAGGGCCAATATATCCTGAGGTGTGATGCCCAAAACTGAACGCAGTACTCCAGATGGGGTCTGACTAAGGCTCTATTCAGCTGAAGCACCATTTTTCCCCTCTGTATTCCAGACCCCTCGAGATAAAGGCCAACATTCCATTCGCCTTTTTGATTACTTTCTGCAACTGGGAATTAGGTTTTAGAGGTTTGTTGATATGGACACCCAAATCTCTTTGCTCCTCCACAGTTTTTAATTTCTCCCCATTAAGAAGATATTCTGCTTTATCTTTTTTCAATCCGTACTGGATGACCTCGCACTTCCCTACATTGAACTCCATTTGCCACAGCTTTGCCCACTCACTTAATCCGTCTAAGTCCCTTTGTAACTTCCTACTCCCATCTACACAACTTACTGAGCCTCCTAGCTTAGTATTGTCTGCAAACTTGGATATAAAACTTTCTATTCCTTCATCCAAATCATTTATTTATATATATATATATATATGGCGAATAGCTGAGGTCCCAGTACAGACCCCTGGGGGACACCACTTGCCACGTCCCGCTAATCAGAGAAAGTTCCCTTTATTCCTACGTTCTGTTTTCTGCCTCCCAACCAATTACCAAGCCACATCACAAGGTGACCTCCAACTTCAGGTGCTTCCATTTTTGATAAGAATCTTTATCAAATGCCTTCTGAAAGTCCGTATAAATGACATCCATAAACATTCTCTTATCCACCATTTTAGTGACCTCAACAAATTCAACTAGGTTAGTCAGACACAACCTACCCTTCACAAACCCATGCTGACTCTCTTTGACAAGCTTGTATCTGTCCCAAGTGTTCTGTCCCTGATGATGGATTCCAGCATTTCTCCTACAACTGACGTTAAATTGACAGGTCTGTAGTTTCTTGGCTTCTCCTTCCCTCCCTTCTTAAATAAAGGGGTGACATTTGCAATTTTCCAATCTAAGGGCACAATTCCCGAATCTAGTGAGCTTTGGAAAATTATGATGAATGCATCTGCAATTTCCTTCTATTTCCTTTAATACCCTGGGTGGAAATTATCAGGTCCTGGAGATTTGGCTATTTTGTGTCTCGTTATTTTCTCCATTACCTTTTTTATTTATTTATATTAATTTTATTAAGCAATTCTCTTTGACTTACTTTTAGGTTCTCCTGTAGGCTAGTATTTTGTCCTCATCCTCCTGTAAAAACGGTAGTGAATATTTATTTAACAAGTCAGCAATTTCCTTATTTTCCGTTATAGTCTCACCTACATCTGTCTTTAAGTACCTATATTCCCCTTGACCATTATCTTTCTCTTAATATAGTTATAACAGCTTTTACTATTGTTTTTCATATCCCTTGCAAGTTTTTTTTCATATTCCCTTTTTGCTTTTATTACTTTCTTTGTATCCCTTTGTTGCCTTTTATAGTTCTAGTCCTCTGCATTCCCACTTTTTCTTGCATTTGAGTAATCCTTTTGCTTGATACGGTCTCTAACCTCTTTGGTCCACCAAGGTTGCTTAACTGGACGATTGGTGCTTCTGCATTTTAGGGGTATGTACTTGTTCTGTATTGTATCAAATACTTTTTCTTGAATACTTCCCATTGTTCATCTGCAGGTTTACCCACTAAGAGTTCAGCCCAGTTTATTGTGGTCAATATATTTCTCATTCCATTGAAGTTTGCCATACTTAAATTTAAAACCTTGGTTTGGGACTCTCCTCCGTCTCAAATCTAATGTCAAATTCAATCATATTATGATCACTATTTGCAAGATGTTCCCTTACTGTCAGATTATTAACTAGTTCTGCTTCATTAGTCATCACTAATTCCACTATGGCTTGTTCCCTTGTTGGTTCTAAAACATACTGTTCCAAAAAACTGTCCTGAATACATTCTAGAAATTTGTTGCCTTTACTACCTGAGGTGTTCTGCTTCTCCCAGTCTGAGAAAATTAAAATCTCCCATTATAACCACATTGCTTTTGCTACATGCTTCCCTGATCTCCATATTTACATTTCCCCATTACACCACAATTCTCTGGCTGTCTGTAGACTACTCCCAACAGAGACCTCCTTTGCTGTTCCTTAATTCTACCCAGTGTTTCCACTACCTGATCGCCTTTATTGAAATCTTTCCTCTCCACTGCTGTAATAGTTTCTTTTATCAATATTGCTACGCCTCCTCCTTTCCTAATGTCCCTGACTTTTCTAAAGATCTTATAACCTGGAATATTTACTTCCCAATCCTGCCCAGCTTGTAACCAGGTCTCTGTAATTACTACATCATACCCATTAATAATAATAATTATAATCCTTGTATTTGATATAGTGCTTTTCATATCTTCTAGACGCCTCAAAGCGCTTCACTGAATATTCTGTATAGTGAATTGAATGTATATTTGTGGGTGAAACGGGGCAGCCAATTGCGCACAGCAGTCTCCTACAAACAGACATGGATTTAAGCTGAATTTGTGCTTCTAACTCACTTGTTTTATTTCTTATGCTACATGCATTTGTATACGTACCTCTTATTTGGGTAACTGTCCCCAACACGCCTATATGCCCTGACGATGTTCTTCTCACACTTTTTGACTTGTTACACCTTTTGTGATAACTTCCTACTACCTTTTTCTTTCCTGAGTATTTATGCTATCTTTATCACTATTTGTATTCTGACCGTTACTCTCATCCTCTTCTTGCCTTGTTTTGGTTATTGTTTTGGTTACCTGCCCCTCCTGCCCCCACCCCTTACAGGTTTAAAGCTTTTTCTTTAAAGGGAGATAGATACTTGGGGAAGTAAGGGTATTCAGAGGGATAGAGAAAAGATGGGGAAATGGGATTAAAAGATTTTATTATGAAATAAATGTTTATCGCCCTCTTCTGTTTATGATGATGCTGTGCAGGATTGAGTTGATGGGTTGAATGGCATCCTTTTGTTCTTTTCTATGTCTGCTTTCTGAACAGGACAATGAGGTTTAGTGGAAGCTCTTCGATTGGGATATTGAGCAAAAAAAAATAGAGTGGAGACAGGACATCTGTACAGTGAGGCCTTTCTGTCAAAGGCTGGTTGATTTTGTGAGAACATGAACTTGCACAGTAGCAAACAAGATAGGGTGATGGAGAATGAATAGGCTGGGAGCAAGACGTGATTGCAGAGAGGTGCTTTATAAATTCAATCATGGAATTGACCTGAGGTATTTCAGATCAGGGAATATCTGTAGTATTAAGGAGTTAATTAACCAAAGTATAAATGGTTCCAAATAACAAAATTATTATACACTATATTTTTCCAAAATGCACTTTGACAAATTTATCTATCATTTCATCTGCACCAAAAAAGCCAATTTTGGCTTTTTCTCTGCCTTACAGCAATATTAACTCTAGGCTATCACTAGGAGTGCAGTCTTTCATTGAGACCAGTGACTTAAAACATTAACTGTAAGAGGGTTCTGTTTTTTTAAATTGTAATATAGCATTTTAAAGTGTTCCTTGTGTCTGAGGTATTCCTGCTTGTTAATGGATATCTGTAGTCTGGCGAGAGGAAAACTGAAACGGGCCTAATTTTTGTATTACCATATAACTGCCAACAAATGGAGTGACTTGCTATCTGTTGACACAGTTGACCACGCCATCCTCCTCCTCTCCTCCCTCATCCACCTTAGATGGACCGCACTCGCATGGTTCGAGTCCTACTTAACCAAGTGCCAGCACTTCATCTCGGCCAATGGTTTTTACTCTCGCCTCCGCCCGGTCACCTGTGGCGTACCCCAAGGCTCCATCTTTGGCATCTTTCTTTTCCTCCTCTACATGCTCCCTCTCGGCGATATCATCCGCAGACACGGGGTAAACTTCCACATGTATGTAGATGATACACGAATCAACTTCTCTTCCTCCAGATGCGACTCCCAGGCCACTGATGTCCTGTCACCTTGTCTGACAGACATCAAGCCCTGGATGGGCGCAAACTTCCTGCAGCACTCTTTGGCTGCCATCCACGTCTTCTCTCCTGTGGTTCAGACCTCCTCACTCTCCCCAATCTCTCCTTGAGACTCTCCAAATCCGATTCCCGGTTATCCTTCAGTACCTCGCACCTGGTCGCTGGGGGCCAGGACCTCCACCTCCACCACATGGCCCTGGGCAGGACCTCTTTCCTCCACTTCTGCCACATTGCCGTGGCGAACACATCGCCCGCCCCCATCCGTACCTCACTCCAGTAGCTGCCGAACCCCTCAGCCATGCCTTCCTCGCCTCCCGCCTTGACTCCTCGGTCGCCCTCCTCGCTGGTCTCCCCCGCTCCACTATTCACAAAATTTGACTGATTCAAAACTCCGCCGCCCGCATTCTTACCCGCACTAAACTCCGCAGCTCCATTACTCCAGTCCTGGTCCAACTCCATTGGCCGCCCGTCACAGAGTGGGATCGATGTCAACATCCTCCCTCTTGTATTTAAATGACACCGCCCCCCCCCCTCCTCCCCATCACTGCCTCTCCCACCTGCTGCCTCCCTGCACTGCTCCTCCTGGTCCCCTGGACTCTCCGCCCTCACCATCGACGGCGAAGCTGTGGTTCTCTCTCCCTCAATCCCTTCGCCTCCCCCCCCCCCCCCCCACCCACACCCCGCCCACCGCCTTCTTTTTTTTTGGTGGGGGGGAGAAAAATAATGAGTAAAATGTGGTCTGGGCGGAACTGGGGAACCGTCGGAACTGTTGACGGGCGCCGCTGCCGCAGGCGGAGGAGGTCGTGGAGGGACCGGTGCCGCACGTGGTTGCCCCTAACAACCGGCGGAGGCCTGAGGGGCAGAGAGGGAGCCCGAAGCGAGTGAACATGGTCGGCAAAGTGAAGCGAGCCCGGCGCAAGCTGCATTCGGCGGCGGTGAAGCTGACGGAGGCGCCCGCGGCTCAGGGCACCGGGGATTCCCTGAGCGGCTCATCGCCATGGTCGCCGGTCCCGCCGCTCCGGGCAGCGGAGGGCGAGAGGCCGTCACTGGAGGTGAGTGAGAGGGGAGAGAAGAGGATGTGATGGAGAGAGGAGGATAATGTGAGGGGGGGGGGAGAGTGAGAGAGGAGGAAGGTGTGGGGGAGAGAAGAAAGTGAGGGGAGAGAAGAACGAGTGAGTGTGAGAGGAAATGGAGGAGGGGGAGAGGAGGGGTGAGTGTGTGGAGGTGAATTAATGGGTGAAAGAAAGGGAAAGGAGGTGAGAATTGGGTTTCGGGTGCGCGCGACTGCAGCGACGCGACTCCCGTGTCTCCAGTCATAATGGGGCTCTTGGTATATTAGTCGCTGCTGTCCGGTCACACGCTCACACACAGCCCACCCCCACAGCCCCACACACACACAGCCCCACACACACACAGCCCCACACACACACAGCCCCACACATACTCCCCCTCCCCACCACCACCACCACCCCCACACACACAGCCCCACAGCCCCCCCACACACACACCCCCCTCCCCACCACACACAGCCCCACACACACACCCACACACACCACCCCACCACCACACACACCCTCCCCCGCCACACACCCTCCCCACCACCACCACACACACAGCCCCACACACACACACACAGCCGCACACACACACACACACAGCCGCACACACACACACACACAGCCCCACACACACACACCCTCCCCCGCCACACACAGCCCCACACACACACACCCTCCCCACCACCACCACACACACAGCCCCACACACCCCCCTCCCCACCACCACCACACACACAGCCCACCCCCCCCCCCACCACACACACACCCCCCACCACACACACCCCCCCCTCCCACCACCACCACACACAGCCCCACACACAGCCCCACCCCCGCCACACACACCCACCACCACACACCCCACACACAGCCCCCCACCCCCACCCACCCCAGGCCTTGTTTTATGTTATAAGAGAAAAACAGAGATTTGGGTGAAGAAGGTCCTTCATCTCCTCCTTCCTCACACCCACCGGCTTCCAATTACAACTCTCAAGTTTCTGAAACAACAGTGTTCCTGGCCTCAGCCATCCTTCCTTCTTGGATACCTTTTCCAGCTGTTAATGACTTTCTGTGTAAAGAAATACTTCCTAATGTTTGCCGGTCACCTGTGCCCTCTTCTATTCTTTCAGGTTCATTTTCTCCCCCGCTCCTCTATTTGTATTTCATATAAACAGGATTTTACATGTATTTGTGAAATAAGATGATAGAGGAATAGCTTGGTGCTGTAAATTTGCAGACGGTAGGGTGGGATGAGATCAAATGGGCCGAAGAACCATTCATCCCAAACTCTCTTGTTTTTTTTGGTCAGCTGGGTGTCTGTTACATGCAGAAACCCACCTCCATGCTTAAAAGTATCCAAACTAACCTGAGATTGTCATGCACTCCATCTACACACAGAATGGAATGCGCACTCTCACTGGAGGGACGTATCTTGCTTACCTAATTCCGGAAAGTATTAGGCGCAGGTTGGCAAGAGCCAAGGCTTGTGGACCCCAGAGTGCTTGCCAGGGTACTGCTGGATTCCAATCAGCTCAAATTGCATAGCCTGCCATTGAAATTGCTGTCAGGCAAGCTTTCCAGCTGTTTGTCCAGTTAAAACTAACCTACTTGTTAGTACTGTGTCTTGCAGGGTTAACAGGATCTGAGTGGGATGATTCCCTGCCACCAGTGACTGATCTGCCCTTCCAGGTGAGCTAGGTTGGCTGTGCTGCCAGTAGTGCCTTGGAATACTGCTGAGGAACCGGACTTCCGAGACTACCAAAGATGGCTCGCTTCTGATACTTTATTGCCAAGCATGTCACCTTGGAGCCAGTTCAGCTCCAAGTTGACCCTGCTTACCTACCTCCTTCTCTCCCTGCCAAGGAGGATAGTCCCTAGTTGGTTGTTCGATATCCAGCCCTCACTAGCTGGATGTAAGTACCAGAAACTCTGGCTACCCAGTGAGCAACGCATCTCAGCATCTCGCCCACAAAATATACAGTGATTTCCCTATACAATATATTCTGTGAGGTGCTTTGAGATGTCTCGAAGACTTGATAAAGCGCTATATCAAATGCAATGATTATTATTTTTCTTATCTTTGCTTTTTTTAAAATGTGAAATTTATTATGAAGTGCTCGGGGCATGTTTGGCTCGATGGGCATCCTGTAGAATCTTGCTCAAATTGTTGTACTTTGTGAGCCCAGACACATTATTTGACTGATTGTGGCAATAAAGCCAAAATTTGCCCTTGTCCAACATCCAAAACCCGCTCCTTTCCTGCCTGATTTTCATCTCCTTCATCGACTGACACTGAGGCTAACTGTGGTGTCCTTCCTGTTTGCTGTTCTGGGTTGAGGTCAGGTGATTCACCAGGCAGAGAAGAAAGCAGTGGTGAAAAAGTGGGGAAAGGAATTGTGAAGGAAGTGTTGAGAAAGTCAGTTTCCGCTTATTTCTTTATGTGTGTTTTAAATCGTAAAACGTCTCTGAACTAAGCCCAAGCCTGTTTGAATGTGCTTCTCAGGGTACAAGACAGTTGTCTACATCAATCTTTGCTGGAACCATCATCGACCCAAAGCTACTTGTTAAGAATCTGGATATTGATGATTGCAAGAGTGTAGTGTCCATAAAGAAAGGTAAGATTCTGCAGCTTTCTGGGAATGGAAGAGCATTTTGCCTCTTAAGTTACACAATGTTCCGCATTAGGACAGTTTTAACTGACCCATCAGTAGCTGTAAATGCTTTCATTGAAAGTTTACAGTGCAGAAGGAGGTCATTTGACCAACCAATTGCACTGGTGAATTACTTGTCAATACAGAACTGTCTCTGAGAAGCAGGTTATTGTCATGTGTTCTCTCAGTGTTGCCCTCTGAATGTCGTGTTTCTCTTTTTGCTGGCGAGCTGCCGATGTTGGTTGTGAGATGAAGATCGAGTGCAGCTTTTCCAAATAGCAGAACAGATTGGACTGATTTCACCAAGTCTGAAGCCTCCTGCACATTAGCTACTGTCTCCAGCTGGTGCACCTTTATATGTGATTGGGGCACAAAGGGTGCTGTGGGCTGCTGCTGTATTGTGGTAGCTTTTATTGCAAATTCAATCCTCAGTGTTGTGCACTTTGCCACCATCATTTTAGACCTTATGAATTATTGTATATTGTAGTGTTCGGTGAAGGACAACTGGGGATCTATTTTAATGTGGATGTGTTTTGGACCCTTTACTGCTTAGAGTGCAGAATGTTTCTTTGAAATAAGCAGAGGGAACTGCTGTGCACACATGAAATTGTTTCTCACAGGGTGTCTTAAATAAGGATTCTCTTTCAGGATGGAAATCCTCCCTTCCACTGAATCACAGTTAGACATGGGACCAGGGATTCTTCCCACTTAGCTCATGTTGACTCTACAAGCCAAAGCTGAAAAGGTAGGGTGTTCCAAGCTAGACAAGCAGCGGGAAGCTTGCCAGTCAGGGCTCTCAATGACAGGCAATGTGGTTTTAGCTGGTTAAACTCCATCAGTTACTTCAACACAGAGTCTAGGTTCCCCAAACGTTGACTCTCACCAACCTGCACTTAATACTTTCCAGAATAAGGCAAGCAGATTGTGCATTTCATTCCAGATCCAGGCAAATTTCCAAGTGTAAATGGAATATATATGGGGAACTGTCAGTCTGGTTGGGATATTCACTTAGTGATGGGTTTCCGCATATGTTAGACATCTGACTGATTATTTAAAAAAAACTAATTACATACTTAAAACAAGTAGAGGAAACCCTGAAGGTGGGGACTTGTATTCTTGGCTGACTTTTCAGTGCAGTACTGAGAAATTATGGTGTAATTAATTCAAGTAAGCTTCATTGCACTAAATAAAAAGTTTATTATTCCAGCATTCAACAGGGCCAATTATAGTGATATTTAATTAACAATCATTATATTGGCTGATATTCCAATCCAGTGAGTGCTAGGGCTACATTATCAGAGTTGCTGTCATCTGGATGAGAAGTTAAACCAACGTCTTAGGTGGATGTTGAAGATTCAGTGAAACTATTGGAAGAGAGAAGGGAGTCTCTCCCAATGACCTGGTAAATAATTGTTAGATAAATAGGGCATTCAAGTGCTGTGTTTGCAAATTGGCTGACGTATTCGCCTGCAAATGTACAGTCCTGTTCCTTGTGTTGGTCTAGAAAAGACGAGTGACCATTATTGGTTAGAATATTTATACCAATTCTACTCAGCAGAGGGGGCTGAAGTAAAGCTTCAGTCTTGAGTTTTCTATGCAGGATTTTGCAGCTGTTCATGTTATTGTAGCCAGCTCACCTCTCTTGTTTCTCAGCAATATGGTTAATACTCCTATCCTGTGAATTACCTTTTTTTTTCCCCTTACATGCATCCCACACCTGTCACCTCCAGAACATGTAACCTTAACTTCATCAGCTTCTAATTGTTCTCCGCACCTATTCCTCTGACATCTCTGCCTTCCACGACACCCTGAGATGTTCCCTCCCACCTCTTCCGCCCCCTCCTCCCTTGAATATATGGAAAAGGGAATTCATTAGACTAGTTTAGGGTCAAAGGGCTTTGCATTCTGCAATAAGACCATGGTCTTATTTCTCTAAAAAACCTACTGCAGCTCACTGGAACTAATTCCACAAGTAAATATTTAAATCAAATTCATACCATGTCTGCCCCCACTCTACAGTGATAGGTGCATCACTAATCATCATCCTGGGTGACTTCAACCTGCACTTCATCCCCTCCTGCTCCATCTCCTCGGACTTCTCCTCCCTGCTCTCCTCGCTCAACCTCTCCCTCCACAGCAACTCCGCCACCCACAGTCACGGCCACCCACTCGATTTGGTGATGACCCGGGGCCTCAGTGTCTCGGATGTCACCATTACCGACAAGGCCGTCTCCGATCACCACTTCATCTCCTTCACCACCTCCACCCCCCTCCCCACCTCCACCAGACCCACCACCATCTTCTACCGCCCCTGGAAGAAGTTACCCCCACAATCCCTAACCGCTGCCTTGGAGTCCTCTGAACTCCTCTCCCTCTGGCCTTCAACCCTCACTGACCCCTCTTCTGCTCTCACCCTCCTCCACAACACCCTCTCCTCCACACTCGACACTCTTGCCCCCATCACCTCCCGTACTGTCTCCTACTCTCGCTCCTCCCCCTGGTTCACCACCCACCTCCGCTCACTGAAGAGCCAGGTGCGGGCCGCTGAATGCACCTGCCTCAAATCTGGCCTAACGGTCCACCGACAAATCTGGCTGGACCTCCTCAAAATCTACCGCTCCACTCTAGCCTCGGCCAAGTCGTCCTTCTACTCCAGGATAATCCTGGAGGCGAAGAACAACCCCAGGCTTCTGTTCTCTACCACATCCCGACTCCTCCGTCCCCCCCGCCACCCCGCGCAGGTCATCTCCTCCAACCTTCACTGCGAGGAGATGCTGGATTTCCTTGAATCCAAAATCAAGGGAATCCGCTCCGCGGTCACTTCCCCTCCAACTTCCACCCACCCCTTCCCTCCCACACTCCGACTCCTACCCATCCTCCCCTACACACCTTCAAACCCGTTTCCCCACCCTCTGTCACCAAACTCATCCTGTCCCTGAAACCCACCACCTGCTCCCTTGACCCCATCCCCACTCCACTCCTTATCTCCCAGCTCCACCTCCTTGCCCCACTTCTCACAGACATCATCAACCTGTCCCTCTCCTCTGGCTCTGTTCCCATTCCCTTAAAAACTGCCACCATCACTCCCACTTTGAAAAAACCCTCCCTTGATGCGTCGCAGCTATCAAGCTACCGGCCCATCTCCAACCTCCCCTTCCTGTCCAAGGTCCTTGAAAGAGTTGTCGCCTCCCAGCTGCGCTCTTTCCTCTCCACCCATTCATTATTCGAACCCCTTCAGTCGGGTTTCCGTGCTGCCCATAGCACAGAAACTGCCCTGGTCAAGGTCACCAATGACATCTTGACCATCTGTGACCAGGGCTCCCTCTGCCTCCTCGTCCTCCTCGACCTATCGGCAGCATTCGATACGGTCGACCACCCTATCCTCCTCCACCGCTTGTCCTCCCACCTCAACCTTCAAGGCCCTGTCCTTGAGTGGTTTAGGTCGTACCTCTCCCACCGTCTTCATTTTGTTTCCACAAATGGCTTTTCCTCCAGCCCCCGCACTGTCTCGTGCGGTGTCCCTCAGGGCTCTGTCCTCGGTCCCCTCCTCTTCACCCTCTATATGCTCCCCCTTGGTGACATCATCCGCAGACATGGGGTTAACTTCCACATGTATGCGGATGACACCCAACTCTACTTTTCCTCCTCTACCCTCAACTCCACGACCACCGATGTCCTGACAGCTGCCTGTCCGACATCGAGTCCTGGACGAGAGACAACTTTCTTCAGCTCAACGTGCGCAAAACTGAGGCCCTCCTGATTGGCTCACGTCAGCGCCTCCGCACCTCAGGCGCTGACAGCATCAGCATCCAAGGCTGCACTCTCCACCTCTCAAAGCCAGTCAGGAACCTCGGTGTTCTGTTCGACCCTGAGCTGTCCTTTCTCCCCCATATCCGCGCCACAACTGGCACCGCCTTCCATCACCTCCGGAACATCGCCAGACTACGGCACTACCTCACCCCTCACGCTGCTGAAACACTGGTCCACGCCTTTATCACCTCAAGGCTGGACTATGGGAACTCTCTCCTCGCCGGCCTTCCCGGCACCTCCCTCCACAAGCTGCAGGTCATTCAGAACTCTGCAGCTCGTGTACTGTCCCGCACCAGGCTTCGGGACCACATCACTCCCACCCTCGCTCGCCTCCACTGGCTCCCCATCCCCCAGAGGATTGATTTCAAGATCCTCATCCTCACCTACAAGGCCATTCACGGCCTTGCTCCCCCCTACCTCTCCAACCTACTATCCCCCTACTTACCTGCCCGTAACCTCCATTCCTCTGGCTCCGGTCTGCTCCACATCCCCCGCCCCAACCGCCCTACCATCGGTGGCCAAGCCTTCAGCCCCTAGGCTCTGGAACTCCATCCCCCCGTGCCTTCGCCTTGCTTCCTCTCTTTCCTCCTTCAAGGCCGGTCTCAAGACCTTTCTCTTCGACTGTGCCTTCAGCTCCCCTCTCGACTCTCTACCCCCTCCTTGCTCCTTCCCTCCCCCTGACCATTTCCCCCGTGCTCGGGTCCCGACCCAACTGTCCAGTGCCTTGGGACATCCTCCCGATGTGAAAGGCGCTCTATAAATGAAATCTTGTTGTTGTTGTTGTAATGAACTCTGCATCTCCCAGCAATACATTTTACAGAACACTCCTACTCATATTAAATATTAGAACCAGAGAAATGTACAACACAAGACTATTATTTCTTGTTTGTGTTTGCTCCTCCAAGAAGCCATCCATCTTCATCCTAATTCACTTAGGAAATTCAGTTACTCCACTTTACATTGAATCTGTGAAGCACTTTGAGAGAGTCTCCTGATGTAAAAGGCAATTTCAAATGCGTGGATTATTATAATACCCTGCTCTTTCCCAGCACCATCTAATACTCTTTCTCTGCTTGTCTGATCCTTTTAAAATGTTCAGATCGACCCCTCTAACTGCTGGCTAATCATTCCACAACCTGACAACCCGCTGGGAG